GAACTTTCTCCAGAAAACTTATGTTTCTTGGATTTTGGAGCATGTTCCACCACACTTACCTTTGACTTTATTGGATGCTTACCAGCCCGATTCTCTGAATTGCGGTTGTCTTCCTCAATCCTCAGACGCACAATTAATTCCTCCAAAGTCATTTCTCTGCGCTTGTGTTTGAGGTAGTTCTTGAATTCCTTTTAGTCTTGTAGCAATTTTTCAATTAGGCAGCAACTTGGAAGGATTCATTAAAAGGCATGTTTTCTGCATGAATGTCATGGAGAATGAGTTAGAGATCTTGAACTTGACTGATTACAGTCTTAGAATCAACTATCACAAAATCCAAGAATTTGCCAACTACAAATTACTTTGAACCATCAGCTTCTATTTTGTACTTTTTCTCCAAAGACTCCCAAAGTTCCTTTGCCGTTTTGATAGGACTGTAGACGTTGTATAATGTGTTGTCAAGTCTGTTCAAGACGTAGTTTCGGCAAAGGAAATCAGCATGTTTCCAGGCATCGACCGCAACAACTATTTGTCGATCGGTTTCATCATCTTTTAGAGTAGGAGCATCTTCACGGAGAAAATGTGCCATTTTTTTTTTTTTTTTTTTTTGAAAATGTGCCAGGTTGAGAGTAGTAAGATAGAACAACATTTTCTGCTGCCATATTTTAAAATCAGTTCATGAGAACTTCTCTGACTTTTCACCGTGATTGACTGGCACAGTCACAACAGGAGGAGAGGTTAGAGTAATTGCAACCAGCAATTGCAGCCACCATACTAGTATTTGTTTGAGTATTAGTTTGACCTGTTTCAGTAGCCATGAATTCTAAATTATAAAATAAAATTATAATTAGAATTTTATACTACACAAAAAATTTAAAACAAAATTACAGAATTTAATTTTGTAAAAAATAAAAGAGACAAGAATTATAACTTTTATTTCCGATTATTTTGAAAATAAAATAAAATCTTATTTACCAAATTAATTTCACATAGAAAATTAAATTTCTGTAACACTTCAAAAATTAAAATACTGAAATAGAATTTTAATTAATGAAAACTCAGAAATTATTTTTGAAAATCAAAATTAATTTCTGACCAACTTCACAAATAAATATTCTAAATTATTAATGACTACCAGTATATTACTACTAGTTGTCAAAGAAAATAAAAAATAATTACTACTGTTTGTCAAATAGTATATTACTACTATTTGTTTATCTAACCATAATATAATTTTGTAAAACTACAGAAAATAATTTCTGTACGAAGAAAATAAAACAATCGAAAAATTCTGTATAAATAGAATAATTCGAATATGTCTTAAGATTGTTGGAACAATCTTCTATGTAAAATAAACAAGTTGAAACCAAATCAAACAAATAAAATAAATTACTTATAAAATTTATTTACCGAACCAAATAAATAATTAAAAAATCAAGTCAAGTGTGTGACACTCTATCCTTAAGACAGATTCGCCCCGCTATGGTGCTTACGAATAAAATGCGTCTATCTCCTAGGATACAATGATGTTCATAAATTGCAGTAGCACTCCAAACAATTTGTACGGCAAACCAAACCTGTGTTCTATACTCTCAGAAATATTTTTATAATAATATGCAGAATATATATGCAAAAGAACATGAAAGAAGGGAAAAAAATAGATTTTTGGAATGAAGAAAAATGCTGGAAGATGGTTTGTATCTATAGGGTCGAACAGGTATGTTTTCAAACTTGAACATGTATGATTTCAAACTGGAACATGTGCAAGATCTATTTGAACCTAGTTTGAATCTGTTCAAATCTGCCTGGGCAAATTTAAATCTGTTTGGGAATAACTGAATCTGTCTAGTGCAAAATAGGTTAAAAAACTGTTTGGACAGTTCAATCATTTGTGGAATTTGAACTTGGAAGAGGTACAATTTTTGAACAAAAAACTTGAATTCAAATTTGAATTAATTGAATTTTGAAATTCAAATAATTTCCTGCAAGAATTTGAAAAAATTCAAATAAATTTTTGTCAAAAAAATTAATGTTAGAATTGACTTGACCCACAACCCCCATCTGCGCCCGGCACGGCTCGGCTCGGCTCGGCTCAGCCGTCGGCGTCGGCGCGCGTGTGGTGGTTTGAACCAAGGTTCAATTTGTCCATAACTCCTCTCTCTACAAACTTAGGGTGCCCTTTGGGGCCGAACCCAAGTGTTGCTACCTAGAACTTATATACACACATAAGTTCTCTTAAGTTTCCAACGTGGGATACTCATTTCAAAGGAAGGGTAAACTGCCAATAGGTGCTAATAGTTGAACATAATTCTCATTAAGTCCTATTGAAAATAAGTCTTGGTAAAATTGTCGCTAAAAATAATTTTTTTGTGACAATTTTTTTTTATATATGTCGTTAAAAAATGACAATTAGTGACTTTTTTTGTCATGATTTTTATAAATTGTCGCTAAAACTTACAATTAGTGACTTTTTTTATGACATTTTTTTCATAGGACCTATTAGATAATAAGTCCACTTATTCGGATCTACATGTAAGTACCCCTTCAAGGAAACCCACATTTTATTTCTTTAATAGTCTATTTCATGAACCCGAAAACGACGTCAACTTCTCGTTCACTCATAAATGATTTTGATGAACCGTCTTCACCGTGTGACTTATTATGCTGTAAGGAACACGTTACCTCTTAGGACCTACCCCAAAACACGTGTGGGACCCATTCAATTTTGGGCTCAAAATTGACCCAAAATAAGCCTATAAAACCATAATTCCAACACTTTTTTCACTATCAATCACATAGTTGACACTAGGGGTGCAACTTGGGCTGGTTCGGTCGGGTTAGAAAGTTGTCCAAGCCCAGCCCAAGTTGTGCTGAGACTTACCCAAGCCCAAATTGTAACCTAAGGTTGTCTGCCCAAGCCCGACCCGAGCTAAACCCGAATTGTCCGAATTGTAAATGAATTTCAGTTTTTTTTTTTTTAATTTTTATTATTTTTTTATTAGAGAAAATCATTAATACCATCAAAACAAATAATTTATATAATATAAGAGAGATGCCACTATAGTAGTCCTAATAATTTATGAGTGAAAATAAAAACGAAAAAAGTAAGATTTTATGTTATTTGTATATATAATATATATTCAATATGATTTAAGAACATAAATTACTTTAATATCATGTAATGACTAATAATTTATATTTATATTTAATATTTTTATATATCTATATATGTATAATTCGGGTTTCGGGTTACTCGGGTTGTTTGACATATTTGCCCAAGCCTGTCCAAATTTAATTCAGGCTTTTGAATTTTTGCCTAAGCCCGTATCGAATTTGAAAATATTTTATCTAAGCCCTAAAAAAATTCAGGCTGGGCTCAGGTTGCTCGGGTTGAGCCCGCCCAAGTTGCACCCCTAGTTGACACTCATTTAACAGTTATGAACTATATTATAAAAAAATCTCATACAAAGAAGACCCAAATTCAAATAAACTTGCTAGAAAAATTGACTCCCATACTCCTTTTGCTACAAGAAAGTAAACTACTATCATGAATCTAATTTGATTGAATATATATCTTATTAACCAATTTGGTCATTGATTATATAATTTAGTAGCTTGTTTTTGCAATATATTTATATATTATATGAAAATACTTATTTTTTATTTATCTATATTTATATATGTTAATGTATCTTACGATACACGGTAGGATACGATATATGATATGTAAAAGTAATATAACGATACACGATACATATCACGATTCGATAATTAGTTGATGAACTATATTTTGTATGTTGTTAGACCACTAACTTGTGGTATGTGGATGACTTTGCACACATTCTTAGTAAGTAGTTATAGTTATAACTTATACGGAAATCCACAGTTTATGCATTGTTTTTTCTTTTTTTTTTCTTCCGTTCTCACTTTTTATTTTTTTTAGGTTATAAACTTGTAAATAGGCGTTCTCTTGTTTATTATTTTTATAACTCATCGAAACTGTAGCCAAGCTCATGGGTATCAACTGAACATAACCTAAACCTTGTTCAACTATATTTATCAGTCACATGGATATTTTTCCTTCTGCAATGGACCAAGTTGTGCCTATTTTAGATACCTGTAGAGATGACAACATGGTAGTTAAACCTAGAATAAAAATTTCAAGGTTGACTAGTATCATTTGTTTTGCTACTAGGACTGATGTACGAAATTGCTAGGAAACTCAAAATATTGTATGCTTTGTGGTGGGAAAAGGTTGTGAAAAGCTTGTGGATAATGTGGTTCTAAGTAAAAAGTATGGGGTTTGTAGACAAAGAAGAGTTGAAGTTGGTACATTTTTCAAATTATCAGTTTTCTTGATTTGCATGACTTTGTTGTGTTGATAGAGTTTTGTGCATTTAAAATATATATATATATATATATATATATATATATATCACCTATAAATGGCCATATATATATATAACCTAACTTGATGCATAATATGACCGAAGGACTCATATTGGAAACTGTTAGTAGGTATTTTAATATTATAATGTGTTGAGTAGATATTATTGTTTCACTAATAGAGGTTCAATGCAGAGCACACCTACCATGATGCATAATATCCTTATTTGCCTAATAATCTCAGTTTTTGTTACCTATAATATTAAAATAGGTGGGGGAATGTTAGCAGGTATTTTAATCTAATAATGTGTTATTTGTTGGTTTTTCTTTTCTTTTCCTCTTAGTCTCCTGTCTTATCCAAGTCTTGGTCTTGGTCCACCAAGACTTATCCTTTTCAAGTCCACTATGCTTATCCATCCAAAGCCTTACAAGATAAGGCCTTGCAAAACTTATCCATTAAATCTTCCTAGTCTTGGTCTTTGTCTTGGTCTCCTCTTGCTTATCCATTCCAAGAGGTTAGTCACCAAGTCTTGGTCAAGTCCTTCTTTTCTTATCCACCAAGATAGACTCTCCTATATATTGAGCTTAGGTCCTATCTAGAGGGACACAAGAGGTGAAGAAGTTTTGGGTTGCTTTGTTATGTCTAATGTGAGATTATTAGGCAAATAAAAAGGGTGTGTGTGACAAAGCTTTGGGTTTAACCAATTGTGCAGTATTGGTGAATCATACGACTTAGTCAGGCTGTTGTATCCTGGGGGACAAGTCAAGGCTTTTTCTGCCTCACCGGTGTGAGGCTTTGCCTAACCGCAGAGAGCTTGAATCTCCTTAAAGAGAGTAAGTTTCCCGCGCCTCAGCCCTTATAGTAGTCATTGTAACTTTTATTACTTGTATTATCTAGTGTTTTATTTGTAAGTATCACCAACAGAAACCATTCTGATCAATCTAAAAATTACCAAACTACTAGTGACCTCTAATTAAATATAAGAAAATTGTTCTAGCAGCATAGATTCCAAAAACTATCTTAAAAAAACACTCAAATTGAACAATAACTTTTGTTAGAGAAAGTCCAATGCATGCTGATGTAGGACAACTGCAAGTATTACTCTTCTTCAAATAGTGAGCCCAAATTTGATGTATAGCAGAAAAGTTGAGTTTTGGGCTATTTTAGTTGATTTTTATTTTATAAATATAGAGGTTATTTGGTCTTATATGGAGTAATAAAAGAGTAAAAAAAAGGAGAAGATTTTGGGGCCTGGAGTGGTTCTGGTTTCTGTGAGCAGTACCTGTGAATGGCCCTTTGCTGGTTTTATATTCTTCCGCAAGTTAGGGTGCCAGGGTTGAGGAACTATGATATTTGAGTGTTGAATAAGGGCTAATGCAGATGTGGTTTTGTGGATCTAGAGGCCAAAAAAAATACTCATAGAATTAGGATGTAGGCATCACACCTAGATTTTCAAAGGCATCACCTATGGAGGGGGGAATTGATCAACGCAATGCACATGAGGGCTCAATAGCTTCAACTCAAAATCGACTTTGTTGAATTAAAAGCATGCTTTATAGGGACATTTGAGAAATCCTACTCTTAATAGATTGTGACGTAATTGGAAATTAAGGGTGTGTTTGGATTTTAAATATGTAAAGGGAAAGAAAGGAGAAGGGAAAGTGAATGAAATAGAAGCTAAATTACACTATAAATACTTACAATAATATTTAAAATTTATCTTCTGTTTAACTCACATTATATTAAATTCAAATCTAAATTACATTTAATTTTTTTATTTTTTATTTTATAATGTTTCGGTATATAGCTTGAAAAATACTTTGAACTAAGGAGAAATTATTCAATACTCTTGGAACAATTCGGTATATAGCTTGAAAAATACTTTGAACTAAGGAGAAATTATTCAATACTCTTGGAACAATACTCTATTATATTTACAGGTTAATACTTTAATATTTTGTCTTCTAAAACTCTTATGCAAAAGTAGTGGATTTCATAATTTAGAATACCACCTAAACCTGTTTCACGAGTATTAAATAATTTCTCATGAAGCAAAACTTATCAACTCATAGTTTGTGAAGAATGTGTTTATATGATGAAAATTAAATTGATAAAATGTGACATATATGAGTAAAATGAATTTAAACAATTGATTCCTGCCTTATTGATATAGCTTTTCTGCAAAATTTGTATCTTTATTTGACAATTCAATCCAAATCGTCTAAAATTTGGGGTTACTGATGTCCCTAATGCACAAAGGTGATTGTTGTGGGTTTGTAAGAGTTGTTTTGAGTCTTTATTTTGATAATTTGAACGGATCAAATTTTATGAAGTATTGAGAAGAATATATCTGTAAAAAATTAAGTTAATCTGATATCGATAATTCATTCATTAAAACATATTTATTTATAATATATATATATATATATATATCAAACTAAAGTGCTTGGGAATTTGGGTTGGGTTAAAATATCAATAAAAGACAAAATATATTAAAATGGTCAATAACATAGAATATCACAGCAAATTATAATTATTTTATATTTTTTTTTCTTCACAATTATCAAATCAATTAAAACAAATAACTATAGCCACAAACACAAATTTTTTAGTCATACGCCTGTGTTTGGCAAGGGCTTTTTTAGGTTTTTTGGCTATTTTAGCCACAAAAAACAAAATAGGCTATTTTAGCCATAACAAACAAAACATCACATCCAACCTATAATCATTACACTCTTCTCTCACAAAAAAAGTCAAAAAAACCAAAAAGCCAAAAAGCCCTTCCCAAACCAAGCTTTTTAGCTCAGGCTAAAATAGCCAAAAAAGCCAAAAAGCCAACCCACTTCCCAAACGGAAGCGGTTCTTTGGGCTGCATTACACAAGTGTACTTATGTATCTTTTTATTTTTTTAGTAACATAATATCTCTATTTTTTTTTTTATTTTTTTTTATTTTTTAAGGAGATTGACTAAGAAATCTTATATTTTGGATTTATAATTTATATAGTCCCATATTTTTTCTTGTAATCCATTTAGTCTTTTTGGATATGTAATAACTCATTTGCCCGCTACATTGGAGTGTCACATTTACAAAAAGTATACTAAAGAATTTTTTAGTGTCATATTATACCCGCTACGTTAAAGTGTTACATTTGAAAAAATTACATTTAAGAGTTTTTAATTTTTTTTAGAGTGTGACATCATACCCGCTATATTGGAGTGTCACATGTCAAGTTTGAAAAAAGTACACTAAGAAATTTTTAATTTTTTTAGACTGTCATATAATACCCGTCACATTGTCACGTTTGAGAAAAGTACAGTAAAGAGTTTTTAATTTTTTTTAGAGTTTCACTTCATACTCGTCATGTTATCACGTCTGAGAAAAGTACACTAAAGAGTTTTTATTTTTTTTTTGAAGTGTTACATCATACCCACCACGTTGCCACATTTGAAAAAAATACACTAAGAAGCTTTTAATTTTTTTAGAATAAAAGTTTTTGAGTGTCACATCATATCTGTCACGTTGTCACATTTAAGAAAAGTACACTAAAGAGTTTAATTTTTTTTGGAGTGTCACATCGGTATCTATCACATTGGAATATCACATCATACCTGTCACATTAATAAAATGGTATATCTGTCTACCAAAATAAAAAATAGAATTACACGGAAAGAAACTCTTTACTAGTAGGACTTAACACATCAATAGAAAAAATTTGAGATTAAAAATACTTGTTTATGAGATTAAATTTATTGATAAATATTCTTTTTTTATATACATTTTTTTTATAAAAAAATTAAAACAAAAAATATTTATTTAAATCATCCAAAATAATTCTTAAAATAACGAAAAAGACAAAAGGGCAACTAATAAGCCAAGTTCCCAATCCAGACCCATCTATATATACATGCGGCCGTGATAATAGCTCTCTCCTTTCTCTCCACATGTTTGAATATATGTATGTTGAGTCTTTGACTTTTTATTAGTGTACAGATCTGAATCTATTTGTTTTTTCTAGTAATAATTGAGTAATGGAGGAGATATATAATTCTGGCCCATTTTACCAATTAAAAAAAAATCATCTATTTTTTTTTTGAATTTTCTTGTTTTTAGTGATTTTTTTTCAAAATTATGATAGAATTTTTTTGATATGAATTTTAAAAGTATATTTTTTTTGAATTTTTTTAAAAAAAAAATCACTAAAATGCAAATAAGCTAAAAAGATTGATTATTTTTGTTATTTCTGAATTGTTTTTAAAACAATTATAATTTTTTGGTTTATCTTGTTGAACTGAATCTAGAAACTAAAGCACTTAAATTTTTTTTTTTTATAAAAAAGTTCACTACAATTAAAATAAGCCAAAAAAAAAGGCTAAAATTGTTGATATCTTACGTGTGATTTGCGAAATGGATTGAATTTTGATTTATATAATATATTTAAAAAAAAAAAATTGAGTGTTCATTGTCAAATGTGAATTGAAGGCGTCACATATTCTATCCTTGTGTCGATCGCAACTTTTTTGTTGTCAAACCCGGCAGCGAATATTGCTCTTTCCATTTATATACCAGCACATTTTGTAATCTGCTTCATTGAAAGGTTTCGTATCCAAATCTTCAAGATATAGAGGTATTTTGTAGAACATAGTATTCAGATTTAACCTTTTGAATTCAATTTTTTTTTCCCCTGCATTGATTTTTTTTTTTTTTTTTTTAATAAATTGTATTTTCTGAGAAAGACTCGACTCTGTTTGCTCTCTGGAAATGGAGAGAAAAAAGAAGAAAGGAAAACAGAAATCGAATTTGGGATGTGTTTTGGTTCAAAATTTCAATCTTGTTTTCATCTGAATCGTTTTCTCAGTAACAGAACATATACCAAACGCCTTCCTGTTGTGTTTTAGAAACAAGTAAACCATAAAGAGATGGTTTATGAACATTTTCTCAGAAACCAAACAAAATTTCAGTATCGTTTTCTGTTGTTGTGTTGGAAACACTAGCCTAGACAGTTATATCCCTTGTATGTAGACATTTTCCTTCATTTTCTCGGGAACCAAACACTCATTAAACTTTCTCTTTTTGTCCAGAGATGGGGTACGGCAACGATGGAGGAGGAGAGGGAATCAAGAGGAGAGGTTGCTCATTCTCAAAAGGCGATTTTCTCCCCGAAGAATCGTTCCAAAGTTGGGCCAACTACGGGAAGGCTCTGAAGCAAACTCCGGCGAGGCTGATGGACCGAGTCTTGACTCGGTCACTCGATTCGGCCGAGTTGGAAGTGAAGGCTCGGAGCAATAACGAGATGAAGAGGACTCTTACTTGGTGGGACCTCATGTGGTTCGGCATGGGTGCTGTGATCGGCGCCGGAATCTTCGTCCTCACTGGACTTGAGGCAAAAACCGTGGCCGGACCAGCCGTCGTCTTGTCCTACGTGGTCTCCGGCGTCTCCGCCTTGCTTTCTGTTTTCTGTTACACTGAGTTCGCCGTGGAGATCCCTGTTGCAGGTTTGCTATCTCACTTCTCACCTTCTTTTTAATTTTTTATACTTGAATTTTAAAAAATAAAATAAAAATTATGGTGTTATAAAAGTCATCAAATATATATATATATTGCCTAACGTTTGGCAAAATTGAGAAGTAAACTTATTTTTTAGGGATTTATTTTTTCTAAATTTTTTGGCAAAATTTTTTTTTGTTTTTATTTCAACTTGAAAAAATTACTAAACATGAAAAAATAACGAGATGAAGAGGACTCTTACTTGGTGGGACCTCATCTGGTTCGGCGTGGGTGCTGTGATAGGCGCTGGAATCTACGTCCTCACCGGACTTGAGGCCAAAACCGTTGCTGGACCTGCCGTCGTCTTGTCCTACGTGGTCTCCGGCGTCTCCGCCTTGCTTTCTGTTTTCTGTTACACTGAGTTCGCCGTGGAGATCCCTGTTGCAGGTTTGCTATCTCACTTCTCACCTTCTTTTTAATTTTTTATACTTGAATTTTAAAAAATAAAATAAAAATTATGGTGTTATAAAAGTCATCAAATATATATATATATTGCCTAACGTTTGGCAAAATTGAGAAGTAAACTTATTTTTTAAAAATTTTATGTCATTTTTTTATATAGTTTTTATGTCAACTTAAAAAAAAAATTACTAAACATGAAAAAAAAGAGTCAAATTTCATAAATTAAAAAAGCTTACAAGAATGAATTTATTTTTCCAATTTTTTAATTTATTTTTAAATATAAAAGTATAATCATTTAAGTCATCATTTAAAAAAAAAATCACTTATGCTGTGTTTGGTTGGGGGATTTGGGAAAGGATTTGGAAAGGGAAAGGGAAAAGGTGTGTGAAATTATGTGAAATATAGGTATGATTTATTCACATTTCACCTAGCTTTTCTATTTCCCTTTCCAAATCCCTTCTCAAATCCCCCAACCAAACACAGTATTAAGATAAAAATAAGTTGCTCTAAAGCATCACAACAACACTATGGCACACCCACTGTCACATTATTAGTGTTACCATTAATTAGTGGTCTCAATCATTTTCTATAAAAATAAGTAAGAGTAGGCCTTGTTTAGGAATATAGTTTTTTTTTTTTTTTTTTTTTGGGGGGGGGGGGGGAGCGAAAGTCAATTTTTTTTTTTTTTTGGGTTAGATTAACATCTATATGGGAGTTAAACTCCTCACTTTTGCAAAACACTAATTGTTTGTCTTATAATTCAACTCTTTCTAAATCCATGACTTTTTCCTTGGATTGTAATTAAAAAGTTAATATAAATTGTCAAATTATTTTTTTCACATTTCGTACGTCTTTTATAAAAAATTAAAATATCATGAAAATAATTTATTCTCAGCTGAGTGTTAAAACAACCTAACTCCAAAACGAATCCTAAAAGATCATAGATAAAATTGGATGGACATTCAAGAGTGTCCTCTTAAGGGGTGTTCTTGAGGAATATAGATCCTGAGATTAGTTAGTCTAGTAATGTTAGAGGCTCACATTTTTAAGCTCATAAATTTATTTGTAATTATAATGATGTAATAAAGGAGTTTGGCCTAATATAATTGATGTGTAACAAATTAAAAATTGATACATATTATATCATATCATTGTGATACAATTGTGAGAATTTTGTGTGGGTCTTAAATATTTTCTTAGTTACTCGATGTTTGCCCCAATTTAGTATTATTTGTCATTTAACTTTTATGATTATCACATTTTAGATTATTAGTTACAAGAATTAAAATAATTATAAATTTGTTCACTTCAACTTTTGATAATTTGTTAAAAAAAAGATTTATCCTGTTTGCTTAAATAAGTGGTCACATAAATTTTTTATTATTATAATTAAAACAAAAGAATAACTTGAAAAAAAAAACACTTTTTTATTAATTAAACTGAAAAAATAATCCAAAATTCCAATAAAAAACGATATGAATCATACTAAAAAATAGGCCATAAACCCGTTCAAATTCAAACTTATAATCTAATATTACGTAAGACGTCCAAGTACGCCATAACGGTGAGAACGCAGTGGCTTTCCATTTTTCTTATCCAGACGAGCCCGTGAGATATGAATGTCTAACATGAAAAGTCCAACTTCCAAGTTTCACCAAACGTTCAAAGAGTCCCGAGAATAAAGCTTTGGACCCCCAGTGGAGGTACTGGGGGTCACCTCCCATTGGTCAAAAAAAAAAACAGTTTTTTTTTTTTTTTTTTTTAAATTTTCAGCCAACCCCAGGCCGACACGTGGCACTGAGGTCACTGGGGGTCATCCTCAGTGGGGTCTGTAACATTGCTGCTATTCTCGCGTGCGAAATTCCCGGGTTTGGGTAGCATTACTCAATAATTTAGCTATTTGATAAGAAAAATATTTTAGAGAGCTCTAATAAGCTGGTAGAAGATCCCACTTATTGATGATGTGTTGCATGATTTTTTTTTCTTTTCTTTCTCTGTCACGTCAGTGGAGGGCTCCATCACCATTAGAGCCCTGAATCAGTTTTGATTTGATAATTTATAATTATTTTTTTTAAACTAAATTGTTTGGTTTCATTCCCAATCATAGCTAATTAGATCCTGCACGGTATTATTAGAGAGTTAGACATTTCTTTTTTAGATTGGACAGTAATTGGATAGAATCGTTTATAAACAGGCTTAAATTCAATTCGTTAAGAATTCGTTTGAATTTGGTTTTTAAAATTTTTTTTGCGTTCAAATTTGAGCTCGTTAAATTTTTAATAAACAAGTTCAAATATTTTAAAACTCGACTCGTTAGCTGGCTCGTTTAATATTTATTATTTATATATTAAATAATGTAAAAATATATATAAAAAATAAAATAATTATGTTATTTATATATTTAAAAAATATAAATGTAAATTTTGACTTTTTTTAAGAATGTTTATATATATTGTGTATATAATTGTATAATTAAAATTTTAATTGTAAACTTTAATCTCATGCATAAGTATAAATTTATAAATTTTTTAACTCGTTAAGACTCGTGAACAGGCTCGAGCTCGAGTCCAGCCTAAGCCAACTTGGGTTGAGCTTGGTTTGTTAAATTTTTATTGAGTTCAAACTCGTTAAAATCTTAATAAACAAACCCAAACATACTAAAATTCAGTTCGACTCGATTCATTTGTAACCCTACTCCCAACTAGAGAATTTATTGTAAGAGTATGTGTTTTTTCAAAGTTTGTTTCCAAAAATAGTATATATATATATTTGAAAAACAAAACATATTTTAATTTCAAAATATTTTTAATTTATTTCAAAACCATGTCTTTAATATTTTTATTATTTTTAAAATAATTTTTTACATAAATTTCAATATCAAACAAATACTATGAACACTTATTAGCATTTATTATTTAGGCCTATTTTGATGAGTAAGAAAAAAAAAATCAATTTTTTAATATTTTTTTTAAAACAATATATATTAAAAAAAAGAAATAATGTAATTTAAATAATCCAATAAATTCAGAAGTGTTTTGAAAAGTTGGTAAAAAGTTGACTTTTGACTTTTTATCAAGCTTTTTAGCTTTTTGAAAAATGATTTGAGAAATTGATAAAAAGTTGACTTTTGACTTTTTAATTTAATATTTGTTTATGATGTCAAATCAAATTAAAATGACCAAAATATCCTTACCCAACATAAGAAATTTATTTTTTTATTTTTTTGTCATCGATCCCAATTTATAATTTCACACTTATATTTTTGATACTTTCCAAATTAATTTTGTTACATTTTTACCATTTGCATTTTTAAACATTTTAACAAAAACGTGATTTTTTTATTTTGATCCCCAAAACGGCACTCAGGCCAGCACATGTCTGTTTTGTTTTTGAGACAGTTCCACCACGCCTTTAAATTCAATGTCAGTAGTCAATTTTTGACAACCAATTCAAAGTCACACTTAGTTATACAAAAAAATTCAAAGTCACACTTAGTTATCCAAAAAAATTCAAAGTCACAATCGTAACCAAATGACATTGAATTATATATATATATATATATATCAACCTTGCTACACACCCCCACTGGGGGTCGACCCCCAGTGACGTGGGCTTCCCCCATTGGCCAGTTTTTTGTTTTTTGTTTTTTTTTTCTTCTTTCCTTCTAATCCCGCAGTGCCACGTGGCACTGGGGGTCACTGGGGGTGGCTTTTACTGGGGTCTCGCGCATTTCTGTATATATATATTCCTTAATATGATTTATTGACCTGTCTAAGCACTGTTTTTTGCTATCAAATTTAAGAATTTAAGAATATGGAGAAATTCTAATATATATTCATTCAAAAAGGAATTATCATATGTAACTTTAATTGTAATTAATTATTTTTATAATTATGATATTATTTTAATTATATTTTATATTGTATTTTATTATGACATTTTTTTAATTATAATTCAAAAAATTAAAATTATGTCATTTTTATTTTTAATTATAAAGTATATATAATACATACCTATTGAATTGAAAGGTGTACATCATAGTATTTTCCAAGAATCTATTCTCTCTTTAGATGGAAAATTCACTTTTCTTAACTTGTCATCTTAATTTGAGAGAATGTTTGGATTTAATAAGTCCATTTGTTTGGACTTAGTAAGCTTATTTTGAAAGTGATTTTGGTGTTTCAAATCATTTCCTTTTTAGGATTCGTTGAATAAAATTTAAAATGATTAGACATCGGTAGCTATATGTTTAAATCATATTTATTTTTAAAAAAATAGACGATAAATATAATTTCAAGAATAGCTATATATTTCTTACAATACAAATTTGATTCAAATATATAACTATCGATAACTAATCATTTTAATTTTTTACATGAATATTTTATTTAAGAAGTCTTTAAAAATGAACGGTTCAGATTACTGAAGTCGGTTCTAAAAATAGACTTATCAAACTTAAACATTTTCTAAAATTGAGATGATCAAATATGAAAGAAGTCCAACATGAGAGAATATTCTATAAAGCTTATTTGAGGGTCTATTTTCACAATTCGATCCATTAGAATAAATGTTTGAAAAAAATAAATATTATCATCGAAGTGTGATAGATAAGCACATAAAATGTCCAATATTTTACTCGAACTACACAGGAGGTGAACTTCGCATTTATATCATCCTTTGCATAAAAATAAAAATAATAAAAAAAAAAAACTATAATTAATAATAATTCTAGATAATATGAAAAATTAACTAAAATTTTACTATGAAAATGTTTAAAGATTCTGAATTTTTCCTTTTATGTATCTATCTTTTTCATCCATAAATATTGTTCAAAAAAATAAATGTTCAAAGATTCATAATTTTTTATTTTTTGTGTTTGGTTATAATTTTTTTTCTTTCATATTATTTGACATAAACTAAGTGCACGCATTTAAATCATACCATCTCTCTATTTTTTTTATATATTATTTTATAAAAAGTTAAAAAATATAGATTATTTTAAAAAACAATCTGGTAAAATTTTTCACCAGCTAGCCAAATGCAGGCATTGAAGTAGAATCTCTGAAATTTTCATTTTTACAGGTGGTTCATTCGCCTACTTAAGAGTAGAACTCGGCGACTTCGTAGCCTTCATTGCAGCCGGTAACATCCTCCTCGAATACGTGGTCAGTGGCGCCGCCGTAGCGCGTTCATGGACCTCATACTTCGCCACCCTCTGCAATCAAAAACCCGAAAACTTCCGCATCCACGCCAACGGCCTCGCCAACGGCTACAACGAGCTCGACCCCATCGCCATTGGCGTCCTCATCGCCATCTGCATCATCGCTGTCGTCAGCACCAAAGCCACTTCTCGCCTCAACTCCGTTGCTTCCGTCGTCCACATCATTATCATTGTCTTCATCATCATTGCCGGTCTCATCAAAGCTAATACGAAGAATTATGTTGATTTTGCGCCTTACGGTCCTCGCGGGGTGTTTCAGGCTTCGGCCGTGTTGTTTTTTGCTTATGTTGGGTTTGATGCTGTGTCGACGATGGCGGAGGAGACGAAGAACCCGGCGAGGGATATTCCAATTGGGCTTGTGGGATCGATGGTGATTACTACAACTGTGTATTGCTTGTTGGCTATTACTCTTTGCCTTATGCAACCGTATGCGTCGATTAATGCTGATGCTCCGTTTTCCGTGGCGTTCCAAGCTGTTGGGTGGGATTGGGCTAAATATATCGTTGCTGCCGGTGCACTCAAAGGTACTTTTTTTTTAAAAAAAATTTATTTAAATTTAAACTCTTATAATAAATTGGGTTAATTACATTTAGATTATATAAATTATTAGCAAATATCATTTTATTTTTCATTTGCCTCTTTCTTTTTTCTTTTTAAATTTTTATTTAAAATCATAAATCAAACACAATCTTATGCAAATATACAATCTGAAAAGGGTGGAATTGATACATTTTATAGTTGAGGAGTCAAAATAAACAAGTCTATAAATTAGGGATAAAGTGATATTTGCGTCTAGGTGTAATTAATCCTAATAAAATTGCACAAATGAATTAAATTTAGAAAATGACTTGCAAATAAAATGTTACATAGAGCATGTGTTAATGGCAGTTTTAAAATTATGAGAATGACTGTGGGCTTTTTTTTTTTATTGAAAATGAATAAACTTGAAGAAGCCACAGCATTCTCTATTGAAAAAATATTGTACACAAATTAAACTTTAAAAACATAGAACAGTGGGATTGAAAATGATTAATTACACTTTGCTCCTCAACTAGAATGCCATTTTGGATTCTTTAACTATTAAAATTGTTTCATTTTCTCCTTCTGAAAAGTGGTTACGGTGACCATTGTTTTTGAAAGCTAAGGCAGTTCTAAAATATGAAGAACAAATTCATATTCAACAGTTGAAAGAAGGTAGTCTAGATAAACATGTAATAACTATTTTAATATTGTTGTTCTTTTCAAATGAAGTATAATATCTCTAAAATAAAACTCAATTTGCTCATAATATTTCTTGTCGAAAGAATATGAATTAGTGACGAATAGTAATTGCCAAAGAAAAAAATATAAAATTTTTGAAAAAAGATTAATAGAAGGAAAATTTGATGAAGTGGTAACGAATTAGAATTATAAATAGCATGATTGTTAAAACTGTTTTTAATAATTTTGTTAATTTTGACAGGTATGACATCAGTGTTGCTGGTTGGAGCTGTGGGTCAAGCTCGCTATCTGACCCACATAGCCCGAACCCACATGATGCCACCATGGTTTGCCCTAGTGGATGCCAAAACCGGCACACCCGTAAACGCCACAGTATGCATGCTGGCTGCCACCGCAGTCATCGCCTTCTTCACCGACCTTGGCATCCTCTCAAACCTCCTCTCAATCTCCACCCTCTTCATCTTCATGCTAGTCGCCCTCGCCCTCCTCGTCCGCCGCTACTACGTGGCCGGTGTCACCACCCCAGCTGATCGCATCAAGCTCATCATCTGCCTCCTCCTCATCCTCGCCTCTTCCATCGCCACTTCAGTTTACTGGGCACTCTCCCAAAAGGGTTGGATTGGGTACTGCATTACAGCTCCCATTTGGGTTTTGGGTACAATTGGGCTCAGGGTTTTTGTTCCCATGGCAAGGCAAGCCAAGCTTTGGGGAGTCCCATTGGTACCATGGTTGCCTTCTGCATCGATCGCGATCAATATATTTCTCCTTGGGTCGATTGACAAGGACTCGTTTATCAGGTTTGCGATCTGGACTGTTTTTTTGTTGGCGTATTATTTCTTGTTTGGATTGCATGCTTCGTATGATACGGCGAAGAAGTATGAAGGGGGGGATTGGAGGAAGGTTGAGGAGGGGAACAAGGATGGTGGTGCTGTGGATAATCAAAGTTCTGAAGCAGTTCGTCCTGTTAGTAGCTTAGAAATGGTAGAATAGTTTGTTTGGGAGTTTGATGTGTTGAATGTTATGTGCAAAGCAAAAGTGTTTTCTTTGTTTTAATCATTTTATGTTTTATATTTTATATTTTCTGAATGTATCTAGTTTTTACATACATGGTGGGAAAGTTTAGTTCCATTAATAATTGAAAGAGTTTCAATCGTTTGGGGTTTGTTTTCTCAATGCAATTTTGTTAAATTTTTGTTCTTTTTCCTTTTATTTGTAGTGAATTTTAAATGTTGTTTGGGATCTCCCAAATTTAAACGACCTCTGTTTTTAATTTTTTTTAGTGATTTTTTTTTTCTAAATTATGACATTTTTTTTAATTTCTTGGTCCGTCTTGTGTAGATAAATCTAAAAGTAAAAAAATTACAAATATTTTATAAAAAATGAAAAGGCTAAAATAAGATTAAAAAAATCACTATTTCTTACTTATTTTTGTCTTTACTGAAATTTTATAAAATCTTTTTAAATTTTTTTTGATTCATCAAGTGTAATTTAAAAACCTAAATTTTAAATTTAAAAATAAAAAATCACCAAAAAAAAAAAAGAAAGAAAGCAAATCTCTATTTAAACTTTCACCAAATCTTTTTTTTTTAAAAAAAAAAAAAGCTGTCACCAAATTTAGAATTATATTATGGGTTGGACTGGGGTTGCTAGGTTGGGCTCAGGGTTGGACACTGGCCCACAGGTTGACCCAACCCAATCTTTTTTTTTCAGAGTTTGGGATTAGTATTTTGGGTCATAGAGCCGAGTTGGGTTTGAGTTTGGGAGATGAGTATTTTGGTTTGAGTTTGGGAAATGAATTTTAGAGATAAAAAGTACGAAAAATTGTTTGGTTTGGTTTTTTCAAAAGATGTTTTGGAAAATTATTTTGAGAGAGAGTTTTGGAAAAAGTGATTGATTTGATGTGTATGAGAGAGACATCCTAGGCCTTCCCATTCCGTAATTTGGCTTATGTTCTTCATGTAGCATTCAAATTGAATTTACAAAAAAGAAAAAAAGGAAAAAAAAAATCACCAAAAAAAGCAAATCTCAATTTAAGTTCTCACCAAATCTTACAAAAATAGTAATGTTAGGGATTTTAAATATTTTATCAAATGAGTGCGGGATCCACATAGTATGGGTTCTACATCCATGTAAGACATTTGGTAAAATATTTTGGATCCCTAATATTTTTCTTACAAAAACAAAAAATAAGCTCTCACCATATGTAGAATTATATTATGGGTTGGACTTGGGGTTGCTAGGTTGGGCTCAGGGTTGGACACTGGCCCACAGGTTGACCCAACCCAATCTTATTTTTTCAGAGTTTGGGATTAGTATTTTGGGTCATTGAGCCGAGTAGGGTTAATTTTTTAAACACATTCAATTTTCCGGTTAGATTGGGAATTTTTGGTTTTCGGCCTAGCCCAGCATGCTAATAAAATATTTATTTACTTTTAAATATATTTTTTTATAAACTATTTATATATTGTTTAGTGCATATTCCATATAAACTATTTGCTAGTAGAACAACTAGGGGTATGAAAAAACAATCAGCGGAATCGGTAAATAGATTCAATTCTGTCTAAATCACCGATTTAATTTAATTTTTATTGGCTCCTATTCTAATTCTAATTCTAAAAATGGTGGAATCATTTAAATCAGTCTAGTTACTGATTTTAAGACTTTGGTTATGGTTTCGAATCATACTGACATATTTATTTATTATTTTTTATGTGTAAAAATTAAAATATAAAAAGTCTCTTATAGGATATGAACACTAAGGCCAAGTTTGGCATGTCTCCAAAAAATCAAAAAATTACTCAAAAAGTTAAAAAGTTATCACTATTCACCAAAAAAAATAAAAAATAAAAAATTAATTTTCCACAGTTGAGTACAGCTCAGAATCTGTGAAGTTCAGCTCCATTGATGCGTTTGTTAAGAAAAATTGCATAGTTTGGGTGCAATTTTCACACACTGCTGTTCGGCCCGTAGGGGCCTATCACGGGTCCCGTTTTGATAATCTGAACCGTTGAAAGTGTAGAACTCGTCGAGTACTATATGTCTGTAAAAAATCATACTGATTAGATATCGATAACTACATGATCAAATCAGTTTTGTATAAAAAAAATAGATGGTGTTATAATTAACCATTGAAAAAAACAAATCTGATCAGATAGCTATCGATATCCGAACAACGTGATTTTTTATAGCCATATAGTACTCGACGAGTTTTACACATTGAACGGTTCAGCTTATCAAAATAGGACCCGTGATGGCCCCCACGGGCCGAACAAATCCGTCCAGTGCAAGGCCCGAAAAGTAGCCAATCATTTTTTAACATCAATTCAACTACTCAGCAAGTACGGTTGCACAACTCTCAATCTTAATCTTCCCCTACACAATAATTTATACAATTTTTTAATACATATTTTTTCATAAAAAGTCAAAAAGTTAATCCAAACAACTATATTTTTTGCCTAAACTTTTTAGTCCAAAAAGTCAAAAAGTGCACTTATTTAAGACACCCCAAACAACCCCTAACTTTCATTGTGAAATTGATAAACTCTAATCAAATTAACTAACCTCCGTTTGGGAAGAGCTTTTGTATCTATTTTAGTCACAAAAGACAAAATGGACTATTTTAGCCATAACAAACAAAAAAATCACATCAAATCCATAATCATTACACTATTTTCTCACAAAAAAATTCAAAAAAACCAAAAAGCTCTTTCCAAACCAAGCTTTTTAACCCAAGCTAAAATAACTAAAAAAGTCAAAAAACTAACCCACTTCTTAAACGGAGGCTTAATTATTGTTAGTTTGTTTATTAACATATAATATATATCATATTTATTGTAATATAAAATTCCTAAAATCGAATCGAACTAAATTGGTTTTTATAATTTTGTTTTGATCCGGTTCCATAATTAAATTTTTATAAAAAAAATAAGCTGATAATTTAATTGAAAATAAATAACAAAATTAAAGTTGATAAAATTAAAATCTAAAAGTTTATTTTGTCATAAGAGTTCAAGCTTGAATTTTTTTTTAATAATTTTCCTTAATAATAATAATAATAATTATTATTATTACAAAATAGCAAAGAAAAAAGAAAATAAAATGACAAAAGAAAGAAAAAGAAAACGGCATAAAGTGGGCCCCGTTTTCGGGAGGAAGGTAATTCAATCATCTTTTTATTTCATTTCTAAACTTTAAATTTCATCGGTGTACTCTTATTTATTTATTGATCTCAGTTCATATGTTTCAATTGAAAATAATTTATTCAAATCAGTTAGAGTTAAAGCCTAATTTGATAAGTAAAAAAAAGGTTATTTTCAAAATTTAAACATTCAATCAAACACTCAACTGAGTGATGGAGAATAATAATAATAATAATAATAATATTAGTTACAGAATATGTTCATTGAACTTTTTCTATTTAACAATCTTTAGAAGCGATGATTTAAATTCATGTTTGTTACACGTCATACTATCTAAGGGTTTGGTGGGTTCATTTAAATTTGGACTTGGTAATCCATTTTTTCTTTTCCCTTCAAACTAGAATGCCTTGAAGTAATATCTATAAATGTTGGATTGTATATGGATTTAACTCTACATATTTGACACTAGCTTGGCAATGGATGTGCTGGTTTCTGTTCTGAAATCAGATTCATCAATTGGATCTCCCAAATTTGGCTGTTTTGATTACTTGGTTGGACTATGCTTATGAGGGAAAGATGAAAGAGGATGCTAGAATTGATAAATGGTCATCTAGAGATGCTTGCATGATTGATGAAATTAGGGGTTATTAGGCAAGGCTGGTCATGAATTATGATATGGAGTGCTGGCCAATCAGCAACATGGGAAAGCTAAAGCCAAAAACATGCACAGTTGTGAGATGAATGATGTAGCTTAATTGGGGGCAGGATGTAAGAGAATTTAAAGGCCCAAAAGTGCAATGGTGAGGTTGAAGTTAGATTTCTATTGCATGCACTAAAGAAAAGCCTGAAGGAACATGAATCAAGGTTGCAAGAAAATAAGATTTTATGAGAGAAAACATGGTCTAGATAAAGCAAGATATGTTTATTTTAAAAAGGTGATGATATAGGAGCTGCTGAACTGTAAGATTGCATATGGAAGAGTATATGAGCCATTGGATGATGGACTTAGTTCTGCTTTGAATACTAAAATGGGCATGGCTTTGGCATGAAGTCTGCATAGTTGGAACCTAAACAAAGTCTAATTAGAAGTCAATCCCTTAGTATTGTGTTGTATACAATGTTGTCAAAATTGTACAATACGCAATACATATCGTATCATATGGAAAAATATACATATCGCGGACTCATATTGCTGGTGACTTTAATCACGACATATGTTTTTGTATCATATCAAGATTCAACTCATCTCGTACAATTAATTAAGTTTTACATTCTTCTTCACTTTTGGCCCCATTAGCTACTTTTTTCACTATCAATCACATAGTTGACACTCATTCAATAGTCATGAACTATATTATCAAAAAATCCCACACAAAGGAGACCCAAATTCAAATAAACTCACGAGAAAAATTGACTCCCATACTCCTTTTGCTACAAGAAAGTAAACTGCTATCATGAATGTAATTTGATTGATTTATATATATCTTATTGACTAATTTGGTCATTTATATGATTTAGTAGCTTATTTTTGCAATATATTTATATATTATACGAAAATACTTATTTTTTTAATCTATATTTATATACGTTAATGTATCTTACGATACACAATACGATCCGATACATGATACGTAAAAGTGATATAACGATACACAATACGTATCACGATTCGACAACACTACTTAGTTGTTGAACTATATTTTGTATGTTGTATGACCACTGGATGACCTTTGCACACATATTCTTAGTAAGTAGTTATAGTTATAACTTATATGGAAATCCACAGTTTATGCATTGCTTTTTCTTTTTCTTTTTTTGCTTCCGCTCTCACTTATTATTATTTTTATGTTATAAACTTGTAAATAGGCGTTCTCTTGTTTATTATTTTTATAACTCATCGAAACTGTAGCCAAGCTCAACTGAACATAACCTAAACCTTGTCCAACTATTTTTATCAGTGACATGGATATTTTTCCTTCTGCAATGGACCGAGTTGTGCCTATTTTAGATACCTGTAGAGATAACAACATGGTA